AAATAAAATCATCCTGTCTCAAAAATCAGGTTTTATGATAACAATTCTTTAAACAATACGAATCATTGCAAACTATATTTAATATATATCACTATTATTCGGTTTGATGTTAAGGAACAATATCTCCAGATAATTTGTTCTTGCAGCCTTGGACCACATTACTATTCAAACAGCTAGCTTCCATGTAGCATCATTACTTTAGTAATTGTGACAGAATAAACGCAAATATGCGAAGTCAGTCTATACCGGGATTGAATAAGACCAACGAATTTCGTCGGTTGAAATAAGCCTATTCCCCAAATAAGGTAATTTTGGATTTTACTGTGTACTAATTATTTGCTCTGTAATAATCAATACATTGAGCTCTTTTTGTGGATCAATTTTAATATTTTATATTACTAGGATCCCCTTGGATTATATACCAACGGATTTATTACATTTATATATATATATATATATATATATTTATGTATATAAATAAAAAGAAAGAACAGTAAGATATAAAATCCGGTGTTCTTATAGATATTTTTATTTTTACAAAATAGTGCTCAATGTAAATTTACAGAGCATTAATATTATAAATTAATTGATTTAAAAAAAACATATTTTAAATCAATTAATTTATAATATATATATATTTATATATATATATATATATGTGTGTGTGTGTGTGTATGCGTATAAAGATATATAGAACATACGAAAGAACTCGTTAAGGTAAATGATCCAAAGGTCTTTAGTATTTTTGTTATTATTTTTAAAAAACAGTGCTCGATACAAAAGTAGAGCATAAATATAATTATTTATTTAAAAATATGATTCCATCACTACATAAGAGTTCCCATGTTTCAAAATTATATTGAATTTTTCGGCTCTTGTTTTGAAACATGAGAACTCTTATGTAGCGATGGAATCATATTTTTAAATTTATAATTATATATATATATATATATATATATATATATATATATATATATTAGGTTAAGTATATTCCTTACGCTAAGATGCTACTCAGTTCTCCTAATGTAGGCAATCCTCAGGCATTCATTAATTTAAATTCTATTTTGTTGTTGTTTTAGTTTAAGATACGGGATTTAACTTCCTATTATCTGATAAGTGGCATCTTAATCAACGTGGTAGTGTAGTGGTTATCTAGCCAATGTCTATGTTGTTTGAATTATTATTTCTAGATATATTATTTTGAAACATTTCCTGTTGTGCTGTTTGGGATTTCTTGTCGTAAATAAAGAGTCGGCATTGGAAAATATGTTCCGTTTATACTTGCTCCCATTACTTCCAAGTTCCTTTTCCAAACGATATTTTAGAAGTATTCATTAAACAATTGGTTAAAAATCCTTTATTCTACCTCACTTCTTTTCCAATCTTTATTTTGACAATATCTTTATTTAGTCCAATTATTGTTGTGCTGTTTGTTTTTTGTTAATACCCTTTTCTAATACGGAGTTCACTACTGAAGGGTTTTCTGCTTAATCAAACGCTTTTTCATAGTCCGTAAAACGTAAAGATTGTTTTTTTTTTTAATTTATATATGCTGTATATGGATGTTTGCTAACTGTTTAAGAGCGGAAATCAGGTTTGAGATTCCAATTATTAAATATGAAAAAAGTAAGCAAAAAACAATTAAAATACTCTGTAATTCAATCGTTATGTAGTCTGCGCAGTACGTGTATTCAAATATATTAATCAAAATAAGGAAAATGACGATCCTAGCCTGTATAATTGATGTGATTATGATGATGATTCCTCCTCAATAAAAAGATTTATCAGAAGCAAATTATATTGATATCACTATTGTATCAAGTTTAAACCTCATAGAACAATCTAAACTTGTATTCTTAATCCATAAATAGTTGTTTCGAAAATGTCAATACATATTCCATTTGGCATTCATATAAGTATTTTTTCAATATACGATTTTATAGTATGGCAAATAATATAATTTTGATGTGAAATTTTCGCTCAGTAGTATTCACTATATGCTTAAAAAATGTTACGTGTTTGTGATTAATTTTCGCTATCCAGAAAATTAAGTTCATTAAAAATTTGTTCTGTAGGCTAAAATTTAAATTTAAATTTTCTTTAGAGACAATGAAAAGGGTGAAAAAAGCTGTGTATAACCTATACTCCTATATGTCAGTTGATGATGGGTAATTTCCTCACAGATGAAGAGCAACAAACTTTAGGCACGAGAGATGTGAGTCTAGAGAAAGATGCTGAGAATACCATCTGGAAGTGAAATGGACACTTGTTCATAAATCTGCAAGAGACAACTGAAATTTCATTAAGACATATTTGGCACTCAAAAGACATATTCAAGGCAAAACAGATGAAGGGAAACAGTTAGTAGGGTACCTAACGAACTTGTGTAAATGGATAGCTGAACAAGATCTCGGGAGAAGTGTAAGGAGACAGACACTGATTAGAACAACAAAGGATAGGAAATTATGGAGAGCCATGATCTACCTAGCTAACGAGCTTGTGTAAATGGATAGCAGAACAAGAACTGGGATAGTAAAGAGAAGTACATTGATTAGAACTACAAAGGATAGGAAGTTGAGGAGAGCCATGATCAGCCTACCTAACAATCTTGTGTAGATAGATAGCAGAGCTAGAACCGGAAGCGAGAGTAAGAAGAGAGATATTGATTATAACTATAAAGGATAGGAAGTTGTGGAGCGCCATGATCGGTCTACCTTCCTTGTGTAAATCGATGGCAGGGTAAGAACTGGGAGGGATAGTAAGGTTACAGGCATTGATTAGAACTACAAAGCCTAGGAAATTGGGGAGAGCCATGATCAATATAACTAGTTTGGTTAAATGGATAACAGAACAAGAACTGGGAGTGATAGTAAGGAGACAAACATTGCTTAGAGCTTAGAAGCCGTAGAGACCCAATGGTCACCCACGCGAGACGGCATATGAAGGAAGAAATAAATGCTGCATTTTAGTGATTATAATGCTGCATAATTATTCATATATATATATATATATATATATATATATATATATATATATATATATATATATATATATATATATATGGTTGTGTTCGTGTATATGGTTTTACCGTGAGTTATGTGCATACATTTTCTTAGTATCAGCATCAGTATAAGCCTACATTGATAAAGGTGCATGCATTTGTGTAGCTTTACTGGGTTTTTCAGATTTTTTTGCCATAGACATTTGTTATTGATGTGGTTTTCTGTTCTGGGCTTTGTACGTGACGTGGCCTGAAGCCAAAGAGAAGATAACGCGAAAGCGGCAAACCAACACACACACACACACACACACACACACACACACACACACACACACACACACACACACACACACACACATATACATATATCTATATGTATATATATGCGTGTGTCCTTCAAAACCTTTAAAGAATTATTCTGAAAAAGTTTTCTTCAAAGTATGATTCTTCTAAAACTTTGGCCGGTGACCAGAGAACTTTCGTTTTATTGCTCATCGCCTGATACTGGGAGGTTAAGCAAGATGTCATTTAGTTATGAAATGAGTGAGGCGTTCTTTGTAACTTTTATTATGATATATGTACATATATAATATCATTTATATTATAATTGGATCCTTGACAGCAGATGTAACTTTGGATCATAAATCAATACTATTTTCGAATTCACTACCCTCTGGTTTGTCCTCCTAAAATCCCCCCACTCAGCAAATTTTTATTTTCTCTTTTTCTTCGCTAAAGCATCATTTTATTTTCCCTTCTTTAACACCAGGAATATTAACAATATTCTTTTTTGTCTTTATTTTCTAATGTTTTAATAAAATTTATTCATCTATTTCTCTAGTCTTTTATACTTCTTTATGTTCTCTTTCTTTTTTCATTTTCTTTTTCTTATTCTTCAGCGTTTCATTGCATTATCTTTCATTTGTCCTCTTCTTCTCGTTGTTGATCCTCTCTTTTACTTGTTTGACTCATTAATAAAATTAATAGCACCTACTTTTTCTTATTCAATTAGCATTTCTTGAATCTCATCGTCGCTTTCATGCACATTTCCATTGTCCAGTATTCAGAAAAACTCAATTCTGACGAAAATATAATATTCTGTGATCATTTTCAGAGATCGTTTACCATTTTAAGTCCCCGAAACCTTGCAAATGTTCCAATTAATAACCATCGTTGTTTTGCGTCTGTTTGCAGCAGGAAAGGGTATTCTTGCAATCCGCCCGACAGCCATCGTATCCAACCCCATTTTTGGTCTGGAGGAGTGTCATTTACAATGGAAGACCAATGTCTGAAAATGTGTAAATATTGCAGACTGGCAGAATTATGGAACCTTTGTTGAAGTGAATGATTTAAAAGGAACAAATGATTTATTCGTGAAGAGATGTTGACGTTTCATCCAGTTTAAAACTGGAAGAGAGATAGAGAAAAAGAAGACTTAAAGATAGAAATATGTCCAAGAAAAAAATAGATGTAGGTAGTGGGAAAAACATGAAAAATGTTTGGAAGGAGAAAAATTGGAATACTATAAGAAAAGTGAAAAGTTTAAGAGATAGATAGATAGATAGATAGATAGATAGATAGATAGAGAGAGAGAGAGAGAGAGAGAGAGAAAGACAGAGACCGAGAGGTATTTAAAGAGGTTGCATTTGTGAATCTTTGATGAATGTGGATAAAAGAAGGAAGATGGGAAAATATATGAAGAGAGATACACTTGACTTAAAGAAAGAAGCAGAAAGAGAGAGAGTGAGAGCGTCATAGAGAAGGTAAAAAAAGAATTAAAAAGAGAGATAAAGTAGAATTGAGTGAGAGAAAGATGAAGAACGGAAAAAGTAAGCTGCAATGAGAGAGAGAGAGAGAGAGAGAGAGAGGGACAAATCGTTATCTCGAGTGAGATTAAGATAGAAAGCGAAGAGAGTTCGGGAGGAGTAATCAAGAAATTAAGATAGGGAACATAAAGAGTGTTCACGAGAGGAAGCATATATAGAAATCAAGAGAGGCTCTAGAGAAACAGCAAGAGAAAAACGTCAAGCAATGAAAAGAGGAAAAATACAAAGATCAAGGGAGAGAACTTATACAGCGATAACGATAGGGAACACATAGAAAAATCAAGAAAGAGAGAGAGAGAGAGAGTTGAGAGAGAGAAAGAGAGAGAGATCATAGTGAGAGAGAGGGGCGAACAAAGAAGAAGAAAATATAGAGAAGAAAGACGTACACAAAGAGAAGGCGGAGAGGGAAATAGAGAGAGAGAGAACAGGAAGAAACTGAGAAGCTGAGAGAGAAAGGGCAAAGAGACGCTAGTTGAAGAAAGCTGAAAGATGTCGAGAAAAAGAGAAAGAGGTTTCAAGTGATTAGTAATCAGTCGCTTCTACTTTCATCTTCCATTTCCCAAATCTTGCAAGATGAGAATACGCATGCGCATTAAATAGCCGATCAGAATTGAATAAATTTTCGTGCGGCTATCGTATAGCGAAGTGATTAACCTTCACTTCTGCGATTTCTCTGGCCTGATGCTGAATGCGCATGCACAGCCAGTAACGCACTTCCTGGCACGAAAGCTCTAATTATATCTTACATCTTAACGCTGTTACTCATTACGCATGCGCAGAACCAACACTTAACACTTTCAATCATCGATTTAAGCACACCGTCGGTTATCATTTAGCATGCACGCAATTGCCCTAAATCACTCGCCGTCGAATACAGACCCAAATTTGCACACACACACACACATTAAAACAATTCTGATGTTAAAATATAGCGCAAAATAGATATAATAAAGATAAAGCACATAAATAAAGAACCTCGAAATCGAAAAAAACAAAATTTTTCGCATTATATCTTGTTTACACAGCCAATACTTTCCAGTATTCTTAATATTGACTCGAGTACAAAAATGAAGTCTTATCATTGTTAAATCTGTTAGATCTCTTTGTAGATTAGATTTATGTTCCGCTGACTTGTTCTTCAGTCTTCGAATTCGTTGTCTTCATAGATGAAGCGTTGTTCTATTTGGCTGATGGGTTCTCTTCCCTTGCCAGTCATGTTTGAAATTTTGTGATGAAGCATTGTCTTTATTAAAAAGGAAGACAAATATTTCTGATTTTTGTTCTGTTGATTTTTGTTTCCAGTCGGTGAATTCTCTACCCTTCCTTGTGATATCTGAAACATTTAAATGATGGTCTGGTTTGTTTTATGGCATATCAACGTTTTCTATTTCATTTAATGACGACTTCGGCCATTTTGATAACTCGAAAAGTAGACCCAGGTTTGATTTTTACATGAGAAAAAAAATTGTAGATACGATATAGGCATAAGTACATTAAACTGATCCCTCCTTTTCTTTGTGGGCTACTCATTCTGACTCCAGTCAAGAGGACGTCTTAAATAAAGGTTTGTCATTATTTGGTCAATTAATCAAAATAATATCCAAGATTTTATTTTTTTTTATTTTTAATACGTCGTTTCGAACAAATGAATTTTCTCATGAGTATTCTGTCGAGCGTAATTTATTATTGTGGAGTAATACTTTATTTTCATGTCATATGATGTAACATTTTACGTTTAATAATACAATATTAGGGAGACTGGAGACAAATACTGGTGTCTCTGGTGCCTAGGGAAACAAGTGGTCAGATATGTCATCTTTGCAAGTAAGGTGCCAAAACTACAACCAATATTATTATTAGTTATATCATCTTGAAGTATTTTTAGAGTAAAATTTCTTATAAATATTTTACGAGTATTCCTTTCATCTTGATTTTGATTGCCTTTCAGAACGTCAGTCTACGGCCATTAATTAATTGCCGATCGTAAATAAAAAGAGACTAGAGTTTGCATTACTTTTGATTCAAAAATATCGTAATGACTACTTTACTGTTTTGAGCAATGGGCAATTCTTCAGCTGCTGAAAATCTGATCCAGGCATTTAAACTCGTTCTTAATATTTCTCCTATAATCTGGTGCAAGATTATTATTTTTAAACAAACTATTAGCATCAGCACAAATAATATCATCTTAAATTTTAATTTGAAGCATTATCAATTTCCGACAAATTTTCATTTAATGATCACTTATAAATTTTCAGCAAATATTTAATTCATCCTAATCCTGCTTTATTTAAATTATTATCTCAGCATGTCATTCTCTGAGTGCAATGTGTTTTAGTAATCTGGATTAGATTTAACAACATATTCCTTATATTCCTTGATCGTTCGCTATCGCTATATTTTTGTTATTGTGTTATTTATAGATACTTGCAATATTAATAATAAAAGTATCAATTATTTCCAGAATATATTTTGTATTTCTGGCTCTCGCTGTTTACAAAAGGATGAAAACTGACAGTGTGATTTGCTGTGATAAAAACCAATAGAAAATAAGATGAAAGAAATATGAATCAACAATAATGTTTTCACAATGCTTCATCTCAAAATATCAAGATAGGTAATATTATTTGTACTACGACATTTTTAATGCCATGTCCCTTCATGACATAAGAC